GCCCGCGACTTTGCCGTTGCGACGGGAAAGATACTCGGCTGTGCCACTGTGGCGTGCGGCAAGTTGGGACGACATTGCCGCAGCCAGTGCTGTGATAGGCTGGCGTTTAAATGCTGCGTGCGGCTGCTATCACATCTCATCTCGGCCGACTAAACTTCCTCCCATGCACGAAAGATCTCGACCTCTGTGCAGCGGCCAAGTACATGCTGTCTTGTCCATACTGACGTCGATATACATTTCGAGACGACGCTTGTTTGATGGACTGACCATCCATCCTCGCTGCATGCATGGGGCGTAGAATAGCAGCTTCTACTGCATGTCCAACGGTATCGTTACCTTGATGTCGTCAAGATACTCCTTCTGCCGCCGATCCTGCGTATGCACCCGCCACGTATTCCAACCGTGCAGGTACCCTCGATATACAAATACCGCTATAAATCGTACACCCGTACGGGCCATCGGGGAACTGCGACAGCGGGTCAAGATCGACTTCGTTCGCAAGCGCAGCCTCATTCTGCAACTTGCCGGCACCAGCACACCCGATATGCTTCCGCTCATCGTGATCGTCGCCGCCGTCGTGCTCACAGTCGTCCTCGCCTTGAAGCTCGCCACTCGCCAGACGGGCGTTCCAACGGTTCGCTGGTACATTCCACTCGTGGGCTCGGCGCTCGATTTCGCAGCTTCGCCGATAGCTTTTCTGCGCGCGTGCCGCACGAAGCACGGACCGGTCTTCCGGGTGCTTTTGGCCGGTCGCTACATGACGTTCTTTACGTCGCCGGCGCACGTGGCCGTTTTGCTCCAGACCAAGGCGCTCTCGTTCGGGCCCGTGGTGCACGATGTCTGTGTCGCAGCGTTTGGTCATGACGCGGGGTTTGCGCACCCGAGCCAGTGGCACTACCGCCGCGTCCACAGCCTCTTTACACAGCACTTTGTCAACGGCACGGGACTCGCGGCGCTGATCGAGGCCAACGTACTCCAACAGCGACGTGCGTTGCAGCGGCATCTCGCGGCATCTGGCTCGTCCCAGCTCCGCCTCTTTTCGTTCTTGCGCCAAGCGCTCTTCGAGTCGAGCTCGCGCACGCTTTTCGGTGACGCGTTCTGCGACACGCACGCCGACTTGTTGGACGATTACGTGGCGTTTGACGACGCGTTTCCCGTCCTCGCCTCGGGCTACGTACCGACATGTAGACCATCTTATCCTTTCTTACTGTCGTGTGATAAGCACTGGGTAGGGCTACTGCGCACGGCCCGCGCCGCCGCAAGCACGATCGCACAAGGCTTTGGTGACGCGATCGTGGAGCCGAGCCTCATGCGCGGCTGCTCGCAGTTTATGCTCGACCGTCTCCAGGTAGCTTTTGTTGGTTTCGGATGGCGGCTCAGATCTGAGCGTTTAGTTGTTTCGACGGGTGCAAGCTCCCTTGCACAACTGCGCCGGCACCCAGCTCGCGCTCTTGTGGGCGACCAATAGCAACTCGGTGCCCACCGCATTTTGGACGCTGTATCATCTCTTGCATGACGTGGCAGCATGGAATGCCGTCCTAGCCGAAGTGCATTTGCACTTAACGTCACCTGCGCTCGCGTCCGAGGCAACGTGGTCCAAAGCAGACCTCGACAAGTGCGTCGTTCTTGACAGCGCGATTGACGAGACACTGCGACTCGTGTCAGCGTCACTCCTTCTGCGCGAAGCAACGTGCGATGTCGAGTTGCCCCTCGAGGTAGCGCCATCGATTTGTTGTTGGACGATGCCAACATTAGCGTGTAGCCGCCCGTGGTGCTGCGCAAAGGCGACCGCGTCGCAATGGCTCCCTTCCTGCAGCACATGGACGCGGCGCTGTTTCCAGATCCAGAGATCTTTCGGTACGTATCCCTCTCCAGAAATCAATCATTATCTCAATCATGTGGGTAGCTTTGACCGGTTTGTTCATGCAACCCAGGCGCAGCGCAGTGCCTTGCGCCCCTTTGGGCTCGGCGCTAGCATGTGCCCCGGCCGGTTCTTTGCCAAGACGCAGCTCAAGTCGTGCATTGCGCTGGTCATGCAGCATCTTCCCGGCCTGCGGTTTGCTTCGCTGCAAGCATCGACCGTAGCCATCAACCAGACGCGGGTCGGAATGGGGTAGGCCGTCGCTTCGAGTATTTAAGATGCCTCACACGTGACTTAGCGTCTACCCGCCGGCCACCGACGACGTTGTCCTTGCCTTTGACCGTGCAGCTGTGTAGAGATATTTTGTCATGTGCATTTGCCAACGAGTTTTTACGTATTACAAAATGTAGTGTCTAGTTATTCTGTTCAAAATGCACACCATGTACACAAATACACAAAGAAGCCAAACATCCGCTCGTAGTATACGCCCAATGACTCGGAGTGCACCCCAGAAAAATACACTGGAATGCAAGCGTGGGACGACTCTATTTTTTATCGCGAAACCGTGACAGCCTTTCTCGCATGCCGGAGCGCGCGCTGCCGTCGCTGCGGCGGAAGTCCTACCACCTCCACCCAGTGTCGCCGTCGGCGCCGCCACCTAAAGCAAGTCGGCACCGAAAAGCCGACTTTCGGCGAGACTCGACCGAGTCGACGCTCCCAGCGCCGGCCGAAGATGCACACTTTCACATGCACATTCCGCGCGAAGGCTCCAACCGCTCGATCAACGACGTCATGATGCTGGACGACGACTTGCTTGTAGAGCCGCCAGTTCGAGATCTCGTGTTGGCGACCCCGCGCGTGCCCAAGGAGCTCCAGCTGCTGAAATCGATCCAGAGCCGCGTCGACTCGGTAGCTCAGGCTAGCGTCCGTCTCGTATCGATGATGCTTGGGTTTCCATAGGCCATGCAGAGCTACGACGAAGCGATGAACCGACCGGTGATCGAGTACGACAACAACCCGGACGAGTACATGCCCGTGACGTGGAAGGTGGGCGAGATCCTCATGGCGACGCACGAAGCCATGACCATGATGTCGGGCTTTAGCGACCGACCGTTCCTGCACGTACGCCGTCCTCTGCAACAATTATATCAAGATTGATACATCTCTATTGATTGGTGTAGGACTTGGACGAAGCGCGGGTGCTCATGTCCCGCGACGCCAACGACGTTGTGAGCGAGCTCGGAAGAGACTGTGCACCAGGCATTCGGCGCATCAACAGCGTTTTTCAGCAGACGATTTCGCTGCTGCAGAGCATGCGCGCGTCGTCCAACACGTCTTCCAAGCACAGCGCGTTCTCGGACGACCTCCACAAGCTCATCGACCGCCTTCAGAAAGAAAAGGCTATTTTGCTCGGCCAGCTGAACGAGACGGCAAGCATGTACACGTCCGTGACCGACACGATCAAAGCCAAGGACGACGAAGTCAAGGCGATCGCTGACAGTCTCCAAGTCAAAACGGAGGAGCTCGCCAAGCTGCGCCAAGAGCTCTTCATCAAGCAGTCGGAAGTCACCAAGAAGCTCGAGAACGACAAGGCAGCGGCGCAGTGGAAGGACAAGTGCATGGTGCTGAGCAAGCAACACCAGGCGCTCGAGATGCGCGAGAAAGAATCGAGCGCGATGCTCGCCAAGACGCAGCAGGCGCTTCGCGACTCGACCGAGACGAGTTTGCTGATTCAAAAGGAGCTCGACGACGTCCAAGCGCAGCGTGTGCTGGAGCAAGCCACGATACGCGAGCTCCAGGCACAATTGAGCGACCTCGCCAGTCGCCCGCGCACTTCAAACCCAGGCATACGCGCCGATATTGCCATGGAATACGACTACGAAATCACAGAGCTCAAAGGCAAAGTGTCGGCGCTCAAAGACCAGCTGCATCAGTCCCAACTCGACCACAAGGCCGCGCTCGAGCGCCAACAAAACGACTTTCGAAAACAATTTGAGCTTCAAAAAGGCGACCACGGGTACATCCTTCTTTGTATCAAGACAGTATCAAGCTTAGCCGCGGATACTAGGTTCAGCGCCGCGCATGATGAGATTGATACTTCCAAACTGTTTGTGACGCAGCCTCGGGTGCTCGTGCTCGAGCCGCACGAGCGCCCCGAGACGGCCGAGTTGACCCTCGCCGCGCTGCAGGAAATCGACAACGACGACGACGTGGCCAACGACCTCGATGATCCAGCGCTTTCCAAGCACGAGGAGAGCAGTCCGCGGCACTCGGTCTTGCTGAGCCGGCGCAAGACGGCACTCGCTTCGCAAAAGACCCACATTGAAACGCAAGTGGACGGCTTTATCAACGAGGTGTTTGTGGCCCCCGCGACGATTGCGCTGCCGCCCGCGCTGCCCGAGATCCATCCGATACCGACCGAGGCCTCGGACGACATGCTGCGCAGTACTATATGACGTGTGTTTTCTGTTGTTGCGATGGTGTGGTATAGAACTATCGACGGTGCCGGGCGCCGAGAGCTACCTCACCATCCTCACTGAGCTCCAAATGCAGCTCGAGATGGACAAGCAGCGTGCGCAGAAGCGCTACGTCGACGCGTTGGTGCAGTTCCGTACCGACATGGCAGCGCGCTACGAGAAAACGACTGCCGATCTCGTGGGCCGGCACAAGCTCGAGACGCAGCAGATGGCCGCCACGATCCAAGCCAAGTACCACAGCCTCGTGGAAGAGAAGGATACGCAGCTCGAAAAGGCCCAAGACGCGCTTCGGCTCTTTTACAAAAGCATCGACACGTCGTCAAGCTACGAGCCAGTACATATATGTGTATCAACTTGACACAATTCTCGACTAGGACGAGCGACGCCGTGGCGCGCTGCAGTACCAACGCACGCTTAAAGCTGTCGCGCGCGCGTCGTACCTCATGCTCGCGACACAAAATGAAGAAACCCAGCGGCAACACCACAACGATATCCAAGCGCTCTGCGACGAGATCAAAGCCATCAATCTCCAGGACCTCCTTCCGGTAGTCGTCGAGGTCCCAGTACCCGTTCTCGTGGCACCAGTGGTGACCGCTGCCAGCGTCGTCGTTGACGTGACGCCGCCACCCGTGACTGCGCCTGTGCCCGAGAGCAAGCCGGTGCCTCGGACGCTCATGGCGCGGTCGAGTGTGGTTGAGCGCCCTGTGACACCACCACCCGTCGAGTATGCCCCACCGAGCCTGCGCGATGGCCACACACAAGTCCGCATACTGCCGCTTTCCTTCTCCCCTAAAACACATTCTAGGTATCAGAGCGCGACTGGATGGACCCGACAGCTCTCGAGGTACCGCCGCATACAACGCTGCCCCACTACGTTCTTGAAGGCGCGTCGGCCATGCCTTTGGTACGAAAATGTGACGTAAAGAGTGTTCCACGAGTTGATGGCAGGCGGCACCGGAAGACGAGCTCCTGGCGAGCGTCGGTCGCCGTTTTGGCGCCGAGATGCCAGCGCTGTGCCTCAATCAAGTGCTACCACCAACACTCGGGCTCTCAAAGCACCGCGTGCACGAGCTCGTACATGGCTACGCAGCGACGCTCGCCGACATCAAGGCGCGCATCAATTGGAACAAATGGCAGTGCGTCCTCAAATGCTTGGGGCTCAAGCGCATGGAAGAGGTGCTCTCGCTCGAGACGCACACGTCCCATGGCGTCGAGCATGCGCTTGTCCAGCTTCGTAAGCGCTCGGTTATCAAGCGTGCGGGCTTCTCGGACACCCACCGTGCCCTCCGCTGCGAACAAAAGCGGGCCTGGAACGCCTGCATGGACACGCTCGTCACATACTCGACGGCGCCGGCAGTACACCAACTACCAATCGTCGCAGGAGACTCTACGATCTTGCGTAGGATTTGACGACGGACGGCGGGCTTCCCGAGACAACGCGAAGCAGCGCGGTCAAAGATGCGGAGCTTCGATCGCCCACGACAATGCTCGATGTTGCCATTCGTCCTCCAGCGCTCGATCGGTGCACTACAGTGCTATATGCCAGCAATAAGAAACGATGGACGGCTGTAGACCGGTGACCGAGGCCAAGGGGACCCCGCGCGGCGTGCCATCCCGAGCCGGCAAGCTCCAAGTGCAATTGGAGAGCCACGTCGTGCGCGGCGTTCCCAGCCAATCACCGTTCATGCGACGAAAAGCTCTCGAGTCGATTGAGCGTAGTATGCTGCAGCGACGGCAAGTGTTTGCCGAAACCAATGCCAGCGTCGACCAAACGTTGCGCCACACACGACCTCCATTCGCCCGCACTTAACACATATTCTAGTAACACAAAGCGTCTTATAAACAATACTCGTCCTCAAAGCGACTCGGCGCGTCCCGGTACTGTGGCGACAGCGACGGCACCCATGGCGACGGCAAGTGGGTCGTTGGCGTCGTTAGCCGTGCGTCCGTCGCCGGTGCCGCCTCGTCCAAGCTTGAAAAATCAATGCCGTCCATGAGCGACCGGTCCTTCTCGGACGCCAGCAGTGCGAGGAAATCATACACGGGAATGTCGTCGAGGAGCTGGTCGAGATCGACTCGGCTCGTCGCACACACATGCGCTGGCAGCTCGGTGGGTTCCGTGTACCCGGCGCCGCTTTGGTTGTCCGTGGGCAGACAAAACTGTGGTGGGCCCATTGCCAAGTGCGCCAGCACGCGCTTCGCCTTGCCCTTGGTTGTCTTCGCCAGCTTTGCGGGCTTGGGCACGGAATGAGGCGGATGCGTCGTCGTATCGGATTTCCCGTCTTTTTGCTCCTTCTCGAGGCGGTCAAAGTGCTTTTGAGCGTGCGACCGCGTCTGCACCGTTGTGCGTGTTTGTACGAGCCGTGCAATGCGCCGCCAGTCCTTCCCGTAGAGCGCGACGCCTTGGAGAAAGAGGCGGTGCTCACTGTCCGACCAGCGCCCGCCGTTGGGCGGCGTCTTGTGTAGCACCCGCTTTGGGAGCGCCGATGGCGCCAAGTCCGCTTCATTGGACAAGAGCTCGTGGAGGGACACGCTCATGAAGCGGGAAATTCACAAGTAATTGCCGGCCTTGCGTGGTCCGTGGCGCTGACCGCCTAATGTTCGCATTGGGTAGTCCCGCGTCCGCAACGAAGGTTGCAGCGCCGGAGGACGACGATTGGTCCAAATTCCAAACGGAGCTTCGACAGCGCGCCACGATTGCAACTTCGAGTCCCATAGCCGCACAAACAATTGCAGAAGAGTAGTGCGCCGTACGACGTACGCGTACATTCGACGATTCGAAAATTGTATTCGTGACCGAATGTATGGGGTTGTCGGCGTACATTCTGGTCGAACTTTTGGCCACGGCGGGACGACCGGGACAACACCACTAGTGTTCCTTTCGAGGGTGCTGGCGCTAAACGCAGCGAGAGATTCGACGGCGCTTACTGCATTCATCTCGTTGCGATGGTCGTGATAATGTTGTTTTCTAATTCAACAATAAGGCTAGGATGGAGTGATAGAAGAGCGCTGTAGGCCGTCACAGCAATATGCTAACGTTATGTCATCGCAGCGTGTATCACAACGAATGGCCCACACGCCTCGACGCTCGTGAAACGACTCCTCCTGTTTGGATGCTGACACCGTTGACGGAATAAAACCAACGCAGAGAATTGCGTCGACACGGAGCCGTCGAGGACTAATGGCTCAACGTACTAGTACACAAAATTTGTGTACTTTGAGCCATGGGTCCTCGACGGTCCGTGTCTGCAGGGATTGCAACACACAGGTGCATATATATAGATGAATAAATTCTATGAGCAATACGGTCGTATTCGTTCGTGGCGCCTCTTGCTCAAGCATCAAGAGGTCGTCTCGATTGTGTTGGTGTCTTGCTGCACTGGCTTTTGCAGAACGGAAGCAAAATAAAAAAAGGTTTCGAGTTTCTCTTCGAAGCACACCAGTACCTGGGGTTAGAGACCATCGCCATTCAGGGCCGTGTTCCTCCCACTACCAAGAGCGAGTGCTTTTCCCTGCTCTGTTATCCAGCCTGAGGCGTTGCACACTTCCTTAGAAACCTCGGACAGCGATCCATCCGGATACTGCCCAATGTTTACTCCTGGTTTGGGATGGGCTACCCCTCCACATGGCGTGGATAGATCCCTGACTACAGTGACATACCCCTTGAAGAACTCTACCCAGCCAGAAGCTTGCTGTCACAAGTTGCCGCCACGCAACCCGGTAATAAAATCGTGTGTGCAGGGGTACCACTGATATTGCATGAGACCCACATCGAACCTCTCTGCCGCCCAGTATTTGAAATATATACATTTTACAAAGACTTCGCAAACGTAGAGACTAGTAATTTCCTTCTTTTTTATTCGCTCGCCGCGCCGTGAATGCGTAAGCGGGGGCGCATCTTGCACTAGTGTCGTCACCGGGGAAGTTTGCGGCCGCGGGTGGAGACGACAAGCTCTGTAAATTTCGCATTGTACGACGCTCGAGTGGGGCAATAGACGACTTGATTGACCGCTAGCCATTGGGAGTGGCGTGGTGGGTTAGGATCGACAAGCTAACATGTAAATGCAAAATAACTATCCAATCTACACTCTTCGCGTCCATCCGGACGGCAAAAACTCAACTTCCTTGCTGCGCGTGGAAGTTCCACGGCCTTGCTGCTTCGATCCCGCCAAAAAGCGGCAACCGTTCAAGCGTAGGAATGGCTCTATTCGACAGCCGACCCTGGTTGCGGTCGCTCTTCCGTCGTTTCCTTCATTAGTCCTCGATTCGAGTCTGAGCCCTGTGTATATCAACGGGATTCACAATATTTCAACCTATTCATTTATTCATATATATCCATGCATCCAGCAGGCGCATCCAGCCTAAGAAAATGAAGTCTTCTTTACCCGTGTGCCGTTTGCGGGTCGTCCGGTGCAGCACAGACCAAGACAAGAGGCATTCACAATGCATGTTGTAGCCATTACACTTCTTCCATGCTAGTTCGTGCCGAGCGATTTGCCGGTAGATGATTCGGCTCTTTGTTAGCCACAGCCACCACCACCATCACCGCAGCTACCGCCGCCGCCGTCTCCGCAACTACCGCCACCGCCGCCGTCTCCGCAACTACCGCCACCGCCGCCGCCACAACCCGTCGAACAGCCACCTGCCGCGCAACCACCGACCGCGCAGCCACCCGACGCACAGCCACCGTCGCCCGCAAACGTGCCACAGCCGCCGTACGCCTCGCCCGAGACGCCGCAGCCGCCGCCGACGCCGTAGTAGCCAAAGCCGCCACAGCCGCCCACGTACATGTAGGGCATGTAGTAGTACGGCAGTCCAGCGTCGTACATGAGGACCGTGTGGCGCGAGTACGGCTGGCGCACGCGACCGTCAATGACCGGCGTGCCAATCACCGTGACGTAGACGGGCAGCGGCGCGTCGGCCTCGGGCTTGGTCGCGTTGGCGTCATTGACGGCGACCGCATACGGCATGGCGTCGAC